CCCCAAAACCCCAAAACCCCAAAACCCCGCTCATTTTACTTTTAGGAAGTCATTTTAAGAAATTAAAAGAATCAAGTGATTTTTCGTTTGATGTATTCGAACTTTTCTATAATCTCAAACTCTAAATAATCCAATCTTCTTTCAGCTTTATTCTTCTAATCCTCAGTCATTTCAGTATTCTGCTAAATTCTATAGACTTCATCGTCAATTTAGAACTCAAGTGATTTCTTTAAAGCATCTACAATATCTGACTTAATTAGCTCAACAATCAATACTCGCATATCTGTATTATTTAGGCTGTGTAGGAATGATAATTTGATCTCCTCATACTCTAAGTCTTCTTCAAATTCTTCCAAAGCATGTTTAAACTCATCAATGCAATTAGCATTAGTAGTCAAATTGAGAAAAAGTTGTCTAGTCATTATTCCTTACCTTGCTACTTCTCTTATTGAATTCACTAACTCATCCAGACGTTCTTAGACTAGCTTGAGTTCATCTTTGAATTCCTTTATAGCTAGATCTCTTGGTAGGAGCTATTCTGACTTTAAAAAGTCAAAGTAATTATAAAGGAGTATAAGATTTGCTGGCAAAATCTATTGTTCATTAGTATTTGTCTTAAGTGTTTATATTGAAGGTATTATCCTTGATATCGCATAAATATAGATTCTTCTTTTAAATACATCCAAGTCCTTCTTATCATTTTTGACAACTTCAATTAGCTTAGAAAAAATTCTTATGATTAACTGTATATATCTTTCTAACTAAAGAGTTTACTGAGCAGCTTAGGACCAAAACATATTAGACATTTTCGATAAAAACTAGTCTGTACTTTCAACTAACTTAGAGAGACTCTTCGATTTAAGGTCATTAAGGAATGATAGGATGTAAAAGTCTGAAAGGTCTTGCTTGACAGCAATTTAAGACTTGTTAAAGAACTGTTCTTGCATTATTTGGGTGAAGGAGATAAATAGATAGTAGAGCTCAAAGCACTAGGTAATACCTTCTTGATTGTTGATCTCAGTATCCAACCTCTGTTTTAGTTGTTTAGCTAGATTTCTGGAGAAAATGGAATTTAATGCATCCAGATACCTACTTTTATCTATTGAGGTATGATCTAATATGAATAACTCATTGAGCAGTGTTTCATGAAGCCAAGCTATCTATTAAGCAACATTTTTAGCTGAATTTTCATTATTAATCCCGTTTTCTTAAGACTTTTTGCTTTGATTGCTCTTTTTATTGAATATTTATGCGCTCTTTTCCTGATAAGACAAATCAATGTATCTTGCTCTGGATTAAAGTAGATCATTAACAATATGTCCATACATTTCATTGCTCTTACTTTTAAGCATCTTCAGTGTGACCTTCATGAAAGTCAAAAATTCAGGTTAGTTTTCAAGCGGTGTATCAAAAAGCCTAATCTTTGTTCTCAAATGCTTGACTAACTTCACATATGCATGATCCTCAACATATTTTATACTTTCAGCTATAGAGCTTGCCAATACTTGTGATGACTTAGGCTACTTTTATAGAAGTTATTAGATGTCCTCCATTTACTTTAGCTTGGCTAACGATTTAAAGAAGTCCTCCTTGAATTTATCAAATTTAGATTCCTCATCCTCTATGCTATTATCTTATTAGTTTAGATCGATCTTTAAAAACCTTGAAATATCCCCAGGTTTATTATTTTACTAAGCTTTTCTCATATCATTATCTTCCTCGTCTTCATCTCCAAATAAAATATTTTTTTCCTATTAGGTGAAAGTCAACTAAGAGTACAAGCTATTAATAATTTGCTTCTTAATTTGAAGTCTCTTAATTTCTTACTGATATTTATCATTGCTTGATTTTATCTATTAGAGAATAAAAGATTCACTTGGTTGCGCTTAGGCAATACTACTGATAACTGGAGTAGAAATAGAACCTTTTCTGTTTATTAAAGTTGGTTTAATATCACTTTAAGTTAATGTATTCAGCTAATTCTAAGTATTCTCATGCTCTTTCTTAAAATTAATAATGCCAGTACAGAATTCTTGGGCTTTTTATTCAACTTATTGTTGATCTTAGATCATTGTCTAGTAAAAATTAAGCTACTGCTGTTATAGATTAGACCTTATGTGATTAGAAACAACATTCGCATTGTATGCTAGTGGCAAAAAGTCATATTGTCTTGCTTTTGATATCAAAGACTTTTCCAAAAAATCCTTGTCTAGATTTAAGGAGAGTAAACACGATTTCAAGCTCTCATCTTCTTTTGGCTTTAGTTTCAAGATAGAGTTAAGTTTTTTATTGATGTAATCAGAGGGCTCAACTGGATCAGATAAAGATTCCAAATCTATATCTATTTATTCCATGTTTAAATAATTAAGATTAATAATACACTCCTTTTCAGAATTTAATTAACTAAACACTCCTATTGGGGATTTTAAATATTAATAAGTTTTCTAATTCAAGTTTATTAATAATTTATTAAACATGAATGGAAAGAGAAAGGGGCTTAAAGATAATAAGCCCATTGGTGTAACAAAGAGTATGCTAGCAGTGAGGCAAGAATTATAAAACTATGGAGTTAAGGATAAATTTTCAAACATTCTGGCTAAAGATAACAGAAGATATGGTAATTAGAGGGAAATGCAGTAGTCATAAGCAAATGCTGAGTAGGAGTTTGAGGAAAATCCCGAGGCATTATACCCTCCAATGCAAGTACCTAATAGACCCAGAGGAGAACTACCTGATTTCAATGCATTATAAAGGCTTAATTATACAGATCCTAAAAAGAAAGAAGAACTTTTGAAAATTGTAGATTGCGAAAGAGATTTAATATAAAGAATGCAGAGTTCCTCAACATTTTTGTTGTTCAATGAAAATAAAGATATGACAGGAAAAGATTAATTGAGAAAATAGCTTGCCTCTTAATATATTGAAACTCTTTTTGAAACATAGGGTTAATTGTTCCCTCCATAAATAGTCTCAATTAAACCATAAAATTTAAACAGGCAAATTCATCAATAATCTTCAAAGTAAGAGGAACTAAAGAGAAAATAAAACCAATTAAAAGCGAAACTTTCTCTCAGAGAACACTAAAAATAAATACTTATGAAAAGATTACTTTAACAAACGAAAGTTACCCTTAATGATGATAACAATAAGTTTTAGATTCATGAGAGGGGAGCTGTTGATGATGATGAGAATTAATATATGAAAGGTGAGAAACCTATCAAAAGATTAAAGACTGAATCACCTAAGAAGCAATAAAATGGAGGAAATATGAGTGCAAGTGATGTTGAAGACTCTAAAGCTAGCATCAAGAAAAATGAGTTACCTTCTGAGAAAGATGAAGAAGAAGAGGACGAGGATGAGAACTTACTTAAGAAGAAGATTAAAAATGAAAACGAAGAGGATGATGATGAAGAAAATAATGATCAACCTGAGTTTGAGTAAGATGAGTATTATGGCGAAGATTTGAATGAATATGATGGAGGAGACGATGATGATGATGCAGGCTACGGATCTGATTGAGAAGATAAATAAAATAATGCTTGGAATCATCTTATATAATCATTAGTTGCTAGCTCACGGTAATATGATGTTTGATTAGTTCCAGGTTATGTTGGTAATATAATCAATAGAAATTAATTACTGAAATATTAATAAGTTAGTGGAAATAAGATATATTATAAAGATTTAATCAATATGTAGAAGAAGGCAATTTCATCCGTGCTTAAGTCAAACTAACCTACACTTAGAGCTCTTTTCTCAGCACCCAAAGCTCAATTCCACGCTTCCCAAGCACTTAACAAAGAGGTAAGTTCTCTCTCAACAGCATGCATTAGATATTAATTACTCTGTATAGATGACCTGCAGAGACGCTATTAACTCAGCAATGTGTGAGGAGATCGAAAGAGATCCAAAGGTTTTCCTAATGGGAGAAGAAGTTGGACAATACAATGGAGCTTATAAAGTCTCAAAGGGTATGTATGATAAGTATGGACCTTCTAGAATCTGGGATACTCCCATTTCTGAGACAGGTTTTACTGGTATTGGAGTTGGTGCTGGTCTTATGGGTCTCAGACCAATTATTGAGTTCATGACATGGAATTTCTCTCTTCAATCTATTGATCATATTGTTAACTCTTGCGCTAAAGCTCATTATATGTCTGCTGGAGATCTCAAGTGCCCAATCGTTTTCAGAGGTATTAACGGAGTAAGCGCTGGAGTTGCTGCATAACATTCTCAATGCTTTGGAAGTTGGTACTCATCAGTTCCAGGTTTGAAGGTTGTCGTTCCCTGGAATGTTGAGGATATCAGAGGTCTCTTAAAGGCATCAATTAGAGACGAGGATCCAGTCGTATTCCTCGAAAATGAAATGATGTATGGAGTCTCTTTTGACACCCCAGACTACGTCTTCGATAAGGACTTCGTACTTCCACTTAATAAAGCTAAGGTAGAAAGACAAGGAACTGATGTTACTATTACTGCATTCGCTAAGATGGTTGGCTTCTCACTCCAAGCAGCTGATATTTTGTAAAAGGAACATGGAATAAATGCTGAAGTCATCAATCTAAGAGTTTTGAGACCATTAGATAGAAATACTATAATCTAATCAGTTAAAAAGACCAATAGAATTGTTAGTGTTGAAGAGGGATGGCCACAATGTGGTATTGGTGCTGAAATTGCTGCCTCACTCATGGAGACCGATGCCTTCGACTACCTTGATGCCCCAATGGAAAGAATCACTGGAGCTGATATTCCAATGCCATATTCATAAAGCATTGAAAGATTAGCCGTTCCCCAAGTTGAAAACATCGTAAATGGTGTCCTCAAGGCTTGCTACAGAAAGAAATGAACAGTTTATTTTCTATGGGAAAGTCAGGATAATCTTTAAATGACTTATTCTATTTAAATAAATTTTATTTAAATTCATAGCAATTGCTTATCATGATCTACCTAATTAGTAGATAATACTACATAGAGGGGTTTTGGGGTTTTGGGGTTCGGAAACTAAGGATGATAATTGGTATGCTAAGTAGGAAAAGAGACTTCAGGGTATTTGCTTTTATGATGTCTTATCTTATTGAGCTTATGCTATTCGCTATTCTTCTTTTTGCATAAACAGCAAATGCAGATTATGCAAAGAATTACGAGCAATGTGACCCCTCCAATGACACAGATAATTATGATATATGTGGTATTTCCTAATATAGAGTCATCGTCACTTGAAGAATATGCTGAAATCGGGGATCCATTATCTATATTTTTACCAGCAAATCCGATTCGTTAATTATCCATGTCATATATTGTGTAGTAAGCTCTAAGAAATGGATCACCAAGAAGCCAAAAGGTAGCTCTAGTATCTGAATCCTCTATAAATGAATAAATGCACTTCTTTGAAGCACTATCATAGATTAAGTAATCAGAATTGTTAAAATAAAGATTGTATTACTGACCAACTCTAAAAGTTATGCTTGGATATCTTGGATCTAATACACTTGTGCAATCACAAAGCAAAAGCTATGATGTTTTAGAAATAGCACATTTCGCTGTATTTTTTGAATCGAAAATAGCATTATAAATTAAGTAGTAATCATAAGAAGGCACGTAACTTAGTGAAGCTCCACTATCAAACACCACTTTCTAAATTTTGATTGAGATCGCCTATCCATTTACAGTGGCTTAGTCTAGTTAAACTTACCAATATGCTTTAGAAACTATCTTCACCCAACAGATTAGATCTTCTGCTGTTTTATTAACTTTTTCAGCTGTTGAATATCTACTTAAAACCTGAGTTTAATCATACCCACCAAACTATATTTAACTTGTTTTTGTAGTACTTGCTAAATATAATGCAAACATTTACTTGCTGATTGCTCCACTCTTTTTTAAACTTGCTATTAAAAGCTCTCCATTAGTACTAGAAATGAAATTGGGTGACAGTCCTAATAGTCCATCAGATATTAATCCGCTGATATCAGACGCTTCATATATTGATAAAAACTTTGAACTTTAAGCTACGTATGTACTACCAGTTGTAGCAGATGTCAAAGAAACTTAATCTTGAACTACATATCCTTTTACTTAACCTTTGCCATATGTAACTGTTTCGTTGTACCCTGTCTATTAATAGGTTGATGATTATCCGTAATGAAATTAATTTCCAGGACATTATGATTTCGGACAAGCATCTGAAGGTACCCATAACCAAGCTGAGCCAGTGTCGAAAATAAAAGTCATTGCTTGCTTTTACGAGCCAACATACAATGTACCATAGTATTAAAAGTCTAGATGATTTGCTAAATTTGATTAAAGGTCATATGATTGTAGTTTTCTATTATATCCAATTTTAGAATAGTATTACTCGGGGTTTTTATATTTTTCAAGGAAAAAGCCTGGTTTTTGGAAAACTTAAACTCTATTTAGATCGATACGTATTAAATTATCAAAAGTTGATACTAATTAAAAGAATGTTGAAATATAAAGTAAATAAGCAGAGGTTTCCCTAAAGCTTTATTTTTAGAACATTTATAGATTATTAAGCTATAATATTTTTATAATTATAAAATGAATTTTAATGAAAGTAACCGAAGTGATTTGTTTGGTGGTGGAGGTAATATTTTTAAAGACTTATTATTATAGGTGGATTTAATTAAGGCGGTGGTGGCAAATCAAAGAGAGATGAAATTTTAGAATAAAAGCGAAGATAAAGAGGAATGGGAGGGGGTAATTAAGGCAGAGTTTAATTTGACATGCATGGAGGTGGAGGACCTGCTAGTGGCTTTAATAATCAACTTGATTTACCAATGAATAATTATGGTCGTGCTCCAATGACTACCTAATCAAAATCTAGTCTTAAGTAAACTTTTGGAGATACATCAAGTTTGAATGGAAGCTTTGACTCTCCATCAAAAAAGAAGAAAAAAGTTATGTTCAAAGTTCCCCAGGAAGAAAAATACAGAAAGAAATTTGATATTGATGCTGATATTAATGATAGAGATAACAATATGGGATTTAGATCAAGTGTTAGAAGTGAAGTGAGTGATGATGATTTCACTAGATCATCCTTTTAGCAGTTACGTTTAGATGATCCAGGAGATACAAAACTAACTAGACAAAATGTTCAAGTAATTATTTTTCCAAACAAATTTACTTTTATTTCAGAATTTTAATCAGGAAAATGACTATGATAACGTGGGAAACTTTCAAATGTCGAGATCATAAAGCTAGCCATAATTTAACAATTAAAACAACTATGATAGCTACTAGTCATTCAATAATAACACTTAAAACTTCAATAATAATCAAGGTACTAATTAGTTTGAGAAAACATCATAATTAAATGAATCCTTTCATAGTGGAGACCTTGAACCTAAATTTTCACCTGTTAAAAGAAGTAATTTAAGATTAAATAATATCTCTAGATAACCCAAATCAGAAATATATTCCTACTCATAATTTTGTAAATGGTGAAGGTACTACTGAGGATGGGAAGAAAAGAAATCAAGCACCAGAAGCATAGAGTTTGCAATAAGAACTTCTGTCATAGATTGAAGAAAAAAGAAGAAAAAGGGAAGAAGAAAAGAGGAAGCTAAAGGATGATGAATTGAAAGAAGAAGAAAGAGTAAAGCGTGAAATAGCTGAACTTAATAGAAGAGATCAAATGGAAAAAGATAAAAAGAAACAAGTATTGAGTGATATTATGGACAAATATTAGGCATAAGAAATTGAAAGAAAGTCTTTAATGAGTTAAAACATGAACATGATTAACACAATGGGAGATGGAGGAGGGAATAGCATGCAAAATAAGCAATATGGAGGTCCGTTAAATGAAACCTCTCAAATGATAAGAATATAAGAGTAAACTAGACCTATTGATGTTGAATAACCAGGAGGTGCATAATATGCTTAGTATAAATCTTCAGAGGATATGGATTATGATTACTAGAAGGATTTTGAAAAATTCGATGTTTTAAATAGAGGTCATCGAGCAGCATTTTCAGGAGTTCCAAGAGCAAAAATGATATCTGACATTGGCCATGATTTAAAACACTCAATTTAAAATGAAGTTGACAAAATAAGAAAGTCAATCAAAGATCAACAAATAGATTTTAAAGATCAACTTGATAAAATCACTACTGAAGCTTCATTGGCTATAGAGGAAAGAGATAGAGTAAAAAATCACTTGGAACTATTAAGAAGTGAAATGAGAAGAAAAAGAGAAGAGTAAATGTTTCAAGAAAATAATCTAATAAAAACTCTTAATAAATACTAACTCGAACCATAAAGATACCATTACCCACAGAGGCATGTTCATATTGAACACACAGTGCCCAAGCCTGAGGAAAAGAAAAGTATTTATGAAAAACTATTCTTTGATAAAATTTCAAATGTCATTGAAGCTGAAAAACTAAATCCACCTCTTAAGCTTTATAGAGAAGCTACTTAAAATCCAAAAGCTTAAATTACCATAGGATAAGATCATTATTTCTCTAATAGCAAAGGCGCACTAAATTCTGAATCAATTCTTGTTACTTTAGATAATAAGCAACTCTACCCATCTAAATCTTTATATGAAATGCCTGACCTTTAGTCAAAGACAACTATAGTAAATTGGAACAAAGAGCCCTATGAATATTATAATCACAGAGTCAAAGATTTAAATCCTAGAGATGAAATGTACCTAGTCAGAAATAACTATGAAAGTAAATATGCAAACAAAATCGATGACAATTTGAACTTTTAAAGATATAATCTGCCAGAACGGGAGGAACACAAGCCTTAGTACGACCATAGAATAAGGCCAATTGACTTAGCTAATATTAATGTAGAAAAAATACACTAAGTCAACGAATAAAGATTAACTCGGTTGGAAAGAGAAATAGGAGGTGGAAGTGGCTTTAACACTAATTAAAACAACGGGAAAAAGAGTAATTATGATCTTGATATGATAAATGACATACTTTCCTTAAAATTGTGACAGTAAATCAAAGTAGAAAGTAACTATTGGACAATTGTAAATTAATAAATTCTTGAAGACAATTATATTAAATGTATTTAAGAATTATCAATATATTTTGAGAGATGGGGTTTTGGGGTTTTGGGGTTTTGGGG